CAGCTACCTATTATCAACAAATCATCTATATAGATACATAGTATAAGCAATTTACTCTTGCTTCTTCTTACATATACTCCATGTTCAGTTGTGCACTTCACAAATTCCTTCTCCCTTAGGAAACTATCAATTTTCTTATTCCAAGCCCTTGGAGCTTATTTCAAACCATACAAGGCTTTATGTAGCCTGTACACCTTTCTTTCTTCGTCATGTTTCACAAACCCAACTGGTTGTTTAACATAGACTTCTTCATCTAAGGGTCCATTTAGGAATGCACACTTCACGTCCATCTGACATATGTGCCAACTGTTTAGTTCTGCTAGACCAACAACCAACCTAATTGTTTCGATCCTAGCAACAAGTGCAAAAACTTTATCGAAGTCTATTCCTTCTTTCTGTAGAAATCCTTTCGCCACAAGCCTTTCTTTGTGTCGAGTTACTTCCCCTTTTGAATTCGTTTTCACTTTGTATACCCACTTGACATCAATTGCCTTCTTTCCTTGAGGCAATTGGACAAGTGACCAAGTGTTGTTGTCTTCGATAGACTTCACTTCTTCGTTCATTGCTTTCACCCACTTCGAATCCTTCAATGCTTCAGCTGCATTAACGGGTTCGACATCTTCATAGAAAGCATAATGTACCAGCTCACCTTCATTATCTATTACATCATCTGATGTAATCACACAATCTTGCAATCTTGCAGGCATGCATCTTGTTCTTTGAGGCCTGCTTGTACTTGGTATATCTGCTGGTTTATCTTGTCGAACTTCTCTCTCGACTTGAGTTTCTTGCTCTTCAAGAAGGATTCCCACTGAATCTTTTTTGACATTATCATTCCAATCCCATTCTTTAAACTCATCTATGATCACGTCCCTGCTGATCACAATCTGCTTTTTCACTGGATCGAACAACTTGTAGCCTCCTGTCGAATGATATCCAACTAGAATCATTTGACTTGACTTTTCATCAAGTTTTCTTCTCAACTGATCTGGCACATGTCTATGTGCAATAGATCCAAATACCTTAAGATGACTCAAGCTAGGTTTCACACCAGACCAAAATTCTTCTGGAGTAATTCCTTCTAGCTTCTTTGTAGAACATCTGTTCAAAATGTATGTTGCAGTCGAAATAGCTTCACCCCAAAACTCTTTAGGTAAATTCTTGCCTTTCAACATACTTCTCACCATATTCATGATGGTTCGATTCTTCCTTTCAGCAATTCCATTTTGTTGTGGAGTATAGGGTGGCACCACCTCATGTACAATCCCTTCCTTTTCACATAGCCTTTCAAAATATTTCGACACATATTCTCCACCACCATCAGTTCTCAAAACTTTGAGTTTTTGACCACTTTGTCTTTCGACCATAGACTTAAACTTGACAAATACCTCGATCACTTCACTTTTCTTCTTGATCAGATAAGTCCACAACTTTCGACTGAAATCATCTATGAATGTAACAAAGTATTTGTTACCTCCCATCGAATCCACCTGGATTGGTCCACATACATCAGAGTATATGACTTCAAGACTAGCCTTCGACCTGCTTCCTGCATCCATGCTGAAGCTATTCTTGTGTTGCTTCGCCTGCACACATTCCTCACATACCTCGTTTGGAATGTCGATTTTTGGAAATCCTGAAACCATATTTCTTCTCTTCAAATCTCTGATGTCTCTGAAGTTGAGATGGCCTAGTCTATAATGCCATATCCATTCATCTCTGCTAGCTGCAGTCAAAAGACACTTGTGCTCCATTATATTTAGTTCAATCTTGAAGGTTCGATTCTGAGACATATGAGCCTTCAAGATTAATCTCCCATTTGCATCAATGACTCTCATCATCTTATCTTCGATTGACACTTTATAATTCTTTTCGAAAAACTGCCCTATACTGAGCAAATTGCTCTTCATGCCTGGTATGTACAACACATTGGAAATTACTGACCTCTTGCCATCTTTCCTCATAATCATAACATCATCAATACCTTCAGCTACTAGGGTATTGTCATTTGCAAATTTTACCATATTTTTCATTAAGGGCTTTATATTGACAAACCAGTCTTTCCTTCCAGACATATGTGATGAACATCCTGAATCCAAGTACCATTGGTCCTTGAATCTATCTTCATATTTTGTTGTAACCATCAGCATCATCTCTTCTTCTTCTTCATCATGTTTTTCAAGCTTTGCATCACTTTCTTGATTCTTTCGTTTTTCTGGACAATCACTCGAATAGTGACCATACTTCTGACAATTGTAGCATTGAATGCGACTCTTATCAGGTTTTCGACCACCACCTCTTCCTCTATTTGCAACACCACATCTTTGGTTTCCTTGGTATGGTCTTCTTTGATTCGACACGTTTCCTTCAATTTGTTTTCCTTTACCATTCAATTTGTTGTAGCCACCTCTATCTCTGTCGAAATACTTTCCTTTGCCTTTGGTCTCTTTTGCTGAATGTGCCTGCAAGGCCACATCACTCTTCGATTTGCCTGCATCTCTTTCGTTCATTCTTTGTTCATGAGATTCAAGCGTTCCTTGAAGCTCTTCCTTTGTCAATTTCGACAAGTCTTTCCCCTCTTCTATCGCTACCACTATGTGATCGAACTTAAGGGACAAAGATCTTAAAATCTTTGAAATAATAGCTCTTGTTGTTAACGTTTCTCCACATATCTTGATTTGATTTACTAGTTTTGTAACTCTAGTGAAGAAATCAGATATGCTTTCACTGTCTTCCATCTGAAGCAGTTCGTACGTCCTTTTGTGAGTTTGTAACCTCACTTCTTTCACCTTCTTAGCGCCTCCAAAAGACTTCTCAAGAATTTTCCAAGCTTCTTTTGCAGATTCTGAATCACTAACCTTTTCGAAATTGTCTGGGCTGACACATTGATGAATTATAAATAATGCTTTATAACTCAGCTTCTCAGATTCTGTGTATTTCTTCTTTTCTTCTTCTGAAGCGTTTTCTCCAAGCGCTCCGACTCCATCTTTTACAAGGTCCCAAAGACCTTGACACCTGAATAAGACTTTAATCTGTTTGCACCAATTCTCATAGTTGTCAACTTTCAGAATTGGTAGGGTTGCTGGATAGTTTCCATTCTCATAACTTGTCATTGTGAATTCTTCAATCGTTCTTGATTGATACTTCCCTTGAATCGAAACAAAGCTCTTGATACCAGATGTTGGAAATCCACCAAAAGACTATGATGAATTTCTACCACAATGACGATTAGTTATGAAAAAAACAAAGAAAAGAAGACAAGACAAATAATTTCTGCAGAGTTTCTCTCTGCTCACAAACTGTGAAAACTTTATTATTCACTTTACAACTGCAAAATACTGTGAATGACTTGCTTGGCTTGCTTACAAAAATAGGGGTTACTCCCTCTATTTATAACTGAGCTTACACCCTAAGCCCAAAGCCCAAAATATCTTTTTGTTATTAAATCAAATCTAATTTATTCTAGACTTAAATCAAATCTATTTAAATTTAAAACAAATCAAATCTTTTCGACACATAGTTTCGATACACTGGATTACAATTTAACAAAATCATGATTCGAGTCACAATGTGGTGAGATTTGAGTCAAGTTCAACTTATGATTCGAATCAAATTAGGCTGAGCCTAATTCTAACTTTCTTAAAGAGCTATGATTTGAGTCAAGCTCATCTTGTGATTTGAATCAAATCTTACCGAGGCAAAATCCGATTTTCATAATATGCATGATTCAAGTCATATATTATACATGATTCAAATCAAACAACTGGACACCTTAATTTAAGTGTTCTAACTTGTGATTCAAACAACAACTAATAAAACGACAAAGACCAACTTGTTAGACTAAAAAAGAAACACCGTCATAGATCAATATTATAATTTATTGAATAATAAAGAGACTTATGATACAATTCTAAATAACCGAAATGAAGATAATACAATTCAAATGTGCGAAAATTACAACCACATTAATTTTTAATAACAAACAAATTTCAAACACATAAATAATCAATATCACATACACACAAATTGACCAAAAAAAAAACATTTAAAAAAAACAACACATACTCAATTTCATTTTGAAATCATAATATGTTGCGTCCAATTTCATCAATGTCAATTTTATATTTTCAGTTTCATCATGTTTGCTAGGAAAAAAAAAAAGACCGCTAAACTCAACGGTCACTCTATTTACCACCACAAAAAAAAAAAAAGGAACCTACATGTAATTCCGCGCCTTATTACATTTCTACAATTTTCTTCATATTTATTTTACTTTATATTTATTTTTCCGTTTATTAAATTTAAGAAAAAATTCTTTTCTCAAAACAAATAAGGCAAAAAAAGACAAGTTCTTTACCATTTTCTGATCAGAAAAAATTGCCTCTATATTTCATCATCTCTCTCCCTCATCAAACTCAACAACAGGTAACCACATTTTCCTGCATTAATTTTCTCATTTAAACTATGAACAAAATTCACGTCTCTTAGTTATTCACGATCTTCAATTTATTGTTTTTATTAATTGTAACAATTTTTTTCATTTTAATCGGAATGTAATCACATTTTTTGGTTTTTTTTTCCCCTTTAAATCATGTTTAGAATTGATCATCATTTTATTTATTTAATTTTCATAACCAAATTTGCAGTTGGTAGTTAAACATGTAAGACATAATGATAATGTGTAATGATTAGTTTGGTTTAAATTAATTTTCCATCAATGTTTATGGTTGGTTACTCAACATTTATAATAGGTAGTTGGAAAAAGAAGAGTAGACTTTGTTTTCATTGTAACAAGATGAGAATTTATGATTGGTTGAACCTGTTTGATGATGTTGTTGTGGTTGTGTTGTCTAAGGAATTGTTGATTAAATTAAATTCATTGCATTTAGTTTCGGTTTTGTTTTTGACCTAATGGTTTTGATTTGGGTGGTTAGGGTTTTGATTGATGAGTTTCACTATCATGAATCTCTATTGGGATTTATGAACAAATTTTAGTGAAGATGGCGACAAATCGAAGTGGAACTTCATTTGTCAAAACAAAAAGGATGGAAGGGTTCAGTGATCATCTCATATTTGCAGCTTGTGAGTGGTTTTTGATATTCCTATTGCTGCTGGATTCGTTGCTATTGTATCTTCTCAAAAAGTTTGCGAGTTATTGCAAGTTGCAGTTGCCTTGTTTTTTATGTTCTAGGCTTGATCATATCTTAGATGGTGAAAAGCCAGAGTTTTATCATAACTTGTTTTGCGGAAATCACAAATCTGAGATATCGTCTATGGTGTTGTGTCATGTTCATGGTAAACTTGCGGATGGTCATAGGATGTGCGATGATTGTCTTTTGTCGCTTACTACAAATACCAAGCGCAACACGAAAACTCATCGGTTGTTGGCTGGTAAATTTGGGGTTGTTATGGGTGGTTCTGGTTATCAGAACTCATCGTTGAGCCGAGCTTTGTTTAGTGGACCTAAGGGATCAAGGCCGTGTAGTTGTTGTGGTAAGCTTTGGAAGTTGGAACAGAATGGTTTGAGATCTCTGCATTTAAAAACGCCTGGGAGAGCTGTTATTAAGCCGTACGTTCCTCTGCCACGTGCGCCGAGACAAAGCCGTTTAAATCATCGCGATAGCATGAAGAAAGTTAGGGAGAAAACTTGTGAAACTGATGGAAAAAGAAGCTTTCATGCTTCGTCTCATCTTGGATATACTGTGTTGAGACTTACTTCGGATACTGAGTCTGAGTTTCAATTTTCTGATGATGATGATGATGGTAATATCTTTCGTGAAAAAACTGAAGCTAGCAAGGCTACCATTACTCAAAATGTATCAGAAATGTCGACAGAACACGCAACAGGTGATTTGAGTCCAATAAAGCTAAAGCCTAGTTCCCCCAAACATGTGGAAGAAATTAACCGACCGCAAGCAGATCAAAACTCATCAAGTTTTGACCTACCTGAGCTGATTTCACTAGATGAAGTTTCACCATCGCATGTTGTTAATAAAAAATCAGAACGAGAATCAGAAGAATGTAAGATTACTGGACATTCTGAGAATTCTCTTCCTGATGATCTATCTGAGCTCATGACTTTGGAAGGGTATCACACACCTGTCGGAGACTCATCGGAAAAATGTAACATTTTTCTCTATCTCTGCATTTCAGTTTTCTTTTTCTTCAAAGTTTTCTAACATTTGCTTACCAAAATGATTCCAGCTGTAGATATTACACAAGCAGATGATACTGGACTCGTATCCGAAAAGAATGGGGAAGTCTCAGAAAAGATAGATAGAAACGAAGATGCATCTACTGAAATTGATACGATGGCATGCGACACCGCTCCTCAAAGTCTTACACGAGAGAATTCAACAGAAGTACCGGATTTTGTCACAGAACAACCACCCTTCAATGAAGTTGTTGAAGTCAAGGAAGAACAGGAGTCTAATATGTCATCAGTTGTTCCCACAAATCACGTTCACTCCCCAGAGATAAATGCCGAGACACCAAAATCTTGTCTTGAATCTTTGGATGGAAGCAGTATGACGGAAATTGAAGGAGAATCCATTATTGATCGATTGAAGCGACAAATTGAGTATGACAAGAAATGCATGGATGATTTACAGAAAGAACTAGAGGAAGAAAGAAATGCTTCTGCTATTGCCGCAGACGAAGCAATGTCTATGATCACAAGGTTACAAGAGGAGAAGGCAGCATTGCAAATGGAGGCCCTTCAATACTTAAGAATGATGGAAGAGCAAGCAGAATATGATAATGAAGAATTTGAGAAAGTTAATGATCTACTCACAGAAAAGGAAAAAGAAATACAAGATTTGGAAGCCGAGTTAGACTATTATAGGTTAAACTCAAACTTAACGAACGAACCTATGGTTCATAATATGCACGAGCAAACTAGAGATCCAAAGGAGGAATGTGTAACGCCACAAAGCATTTGTTTTCATAATATCACAGATACTGTAAACAATATTCCCAGTTCAAAATTGTCTGAGGAATCCAAAGTCAGTGACGAAGTTGTGGATGGTGAAACCTCTGTTTTAGAATTTGAAGAGGAAAAGCAATACATTTCACATTGTTTAAACTTCTTGGAAAAGAAACTTCATCGAATTTCTTTTAATAAGGTTTCCTCTGAAGCGTCTAATGTTGAACTTGAAAAGCTTGAAACTAGTAAATTGAATCAACAAGGAGATTCTAACAGTGAAGGGCCCCATTTAGATGGTCATGAGGAGACTGATTTGACCATACAGAACGATCAAACGTTAAATGGAAATCATGATGATAAGGATGCCTCAGCTGCATTAGATAATGATGATTGTTCTCTTAGTATTGAAAACAACGATTCCACGTCTGCAGAACCACAATCTTCCAAATCAAGAAGAGAAACAGATTTGATTTCTCTAGAAAATGAAATATCAGACCTCCATGACCGGTTAGAGGCGCTCGAATTTGATCACGATCTTATTGAGCACATAACAAATTCTCTTCAAAATGGAAATGATGGCAAAAAATTTATTCAAGACATAGCTCACCAATTGCGCGAGCTACGGAAAATTGGAATAAGATCAAGATGGTAAGCATATGATCTTAATGGTTTTAAGCTTTTCATTAATTTTTAAGCATATGACATGTTTATTATACATTGTTTATACTTGTGTCAATGGACCCAATGTAAGCTCACTCAGAATATTTTCCACTTCGACGCAGACATACAAAGAATGGCGGACATGTTTTTTTTGCCTAGAGGAGATTGTTCGATGATTACGAAAATTGATGAACAAACTTAGTAAATTCTGTAAGTATCACTTACATGTTCAGTTCTGATTCAAATGTTTGTATTGCTTTAAAATCTAATGTCAGTGTTTATAATGTATGACATATTCTGTAGAGAATTTGAGGGTTGTAACTGTAATTATATATGCTGCCATATTTTTTTCTGAACAGAGAAAAAGATTTATATTATAGCAGATTAATCCAATGCAATACACAACACATAGTACAGACACAACCTCACTTTTGCATGTATAATCCTTTAGATGTCTGTATATTATGGAAAGGAAACAAAAGAAATCACCAAATAATGTATAATCCTTTTGATGTCTGTATATTATGGAAAGCCATGAGATAATGCAAAAAGCTTCTCCACACATGCTCTGGACAAATTATATATGTTACTTTTATAGAAGAACAAGATTATATTTAACTATAGAGTAGTAATAGCAATAGCACTTTGGTTTTAATTGTTAAGTGTTCTTTATAATTTAAGGTGGTGTAACCGGTTAACACAGGTGTGTACCTGATTACATATGTCAAAAATAAGTTAAATAAGCTGCAAAAAATGTTTTTGAAATTGGTGTAACCAGTTATGCATTCGCAGCAATTAGTTATCACTGTTTGTTAATTTTCTAGTTTTAGCCATTGTAACCAGTTACAAAGTTAGTGTAACAGGTTACAGGTCCGAAAATTGTCTTTCTGTTATTTGGCTTATGTTGCCTGTGTCCCAATCCTGAGTTTTGACCTACCTGATTCCAATAAAGCTTGTACTGTTTGTATATGTGCTTTGGATGCATCCTCATCAATTATAATGAAAATACTCTCTCTCTCTCTCTCTCTCTCTCTCTCTCTCTCTCTCGTCTCTCTCTCTCTCTCTCTCTCTCTCTCTCTCTCTCTCTCTCT